GATCCCGGGACTCTGTGAGAAGGGGTCAAGGCTTGTCGGTATGGCCGTATAGAAGTAGTGTGACTGTTCCTTTAAATTGGGCCTTCAATTTTGGTAATGCGGCCCAATTATATTGGGCTTAGGCCTACAGTTTTGTTGGGTCAAATTTGTCTACTTTATATTAGATACTAATTTTTTTTATTAATATTATTTTTAATTGAAAATTTTTATAATTAAAGTTTAAAACCACTGAAGCTGAGAAGTCAGACATGGCCCAATAAAAGTTCAAACTAAAAGTTCATAATCCAATAACAAAATTAAGGGTTTGTTCCTTCTAACTTTCTAAATAGAACGAAACGAAGGCGAATACTTAAAATTCAGTTCGCCTCGTTAACATCACTAGGCATATCAAAATGATAGACAGAACCACAAATTGATATGAGTCTTTAAGCGCGCATTGTCTTAGCTTACGCGACTTACCGTGTTTGGCAATTAGCTGATAGCTGTTAGCTGATTTAATTAGTTGATTTGATTAGCTGTCTGTATTAAAATGTTTAGTAAAACAATTGTTTGATATTAGCTGTTTATACGTAAAATGACAATTGAAGACATTTTTATTTTATTCATGTTTCTAATATATTCAATTATGTTTTTTTGAGTTCAGAATGTTTAAAATTTTTTGTTATTAGTTATTGAAAATTGTAAAAGTGTTATAAAAGTATTTATTTTTATTACAGTTAGATTTTAAAAAATAATATTTTTTTATTAAAATATATAAATAGTTTTTTTAATTGAAAATAATGTAAAATATAAAATAATAAATTTTTCGTGTATATATATTTATTATGTTAATTATCGATTAATTCATTATATTTATAATTTTCAATAAATTTAATTTATTGAATTTATTTTTAGTATAAAATTTATATAATGTAATTTTAATTAAAAAATAAATTATTAATATTTATATTTTTTATTTATGTTGATTTTAATAAATTTATATATTTTACAATTAAAATAATTTTTATATAAAAATTAATTATTTTAAATTTATAAAAGTAAAACTATAATATAATAAAATATTCTAATATAATTAATAAATAATCAAAATATATTTATTTGTGTAAAATGTATAATAAATTTTTAATGACATATAAGGAATAAATTTTTTTTTTACAGAAAAAGCTATTTCAAAACGCTGGGTAAGTTAGCTTTTCAGAAATTAGTTTTTTTGGGTCCAAAAAGCTAATTTACCAAACACCTAAATTAGCTTTTTGACCGGTCAAACAGCTAAAAGCTTTTCAAAAAGCTATTTGCCAAGCACCCCCTCAGATAGACTTCCAGAAGTCATCCATCTTCAAATTATTTTAGCTTTAATTTTAAATTTTTTTCAATAGGTTTCCGAAAAAAATGTACACATTATTCGCACAAATAATCTATTTTTATTCAACTAAATCTCTATTAACTCTTGAAGGACCTAACACCGGTTTATCCCTACACGGAATTCCATTGTGAAGCACCGCCTAACTCCAGGGATATTCCAACCACTTTCATTTTAATTTCAGTATTTTAACTTATTTATGTCACTCGTATATTTCAGTTAACAGAACATATATTATGTTAATTTATATTATAATCTTGTAGCTTTTTCTACATGGTATTATTTGTAATTATTGTTATATGTTTATAAAATATATGTTCATTTGAACTATGTATGAATTATTAATAAATATAATATTACATTAATTGGTTGTAGCATAAAATAAGAGAATTTTTAAAAAATATATGAAATAATTAATAATATAAACAAAATTATATAATTAGGTATGTAGATAATTGTGACATATAATTTGTAAATATATGTAGCATATAAATTGAATAATATGTAATTCTTTTTACTATAAATAAAAATACTACATATATATTGTAGAATGTTAAATTATTCTATACCTTTAAACTTATATAGAAAGATCGATTGATAAATTATTCTCATTATATACAAATTTATATATAATATATATTGACAATAATGTAAAAAAGTTGTGTTGAACGAAGAAAGCCACAATTGTTTTTATTTTTTTATTTTTTTTATAATAAAAAAAGTGATATAATACTTTAATAAATAAAAAATAAAAGAAAGAAAATTGAGTATAATTTTAAGAGAAGAGAGCATATATAAAGATATATTTTGCAAAATCAATATTCTTTGGGCGCGTTAGTTGTATGATGTGATATAAATAGGTGTTGATGTGACATTTTGAATGTAAATTGATTTTTAGTATAATATAAAAAATGAAAAAGAGGTGTTTGATTTGATTTTTTGAAAAAAAAAAAATTGGATGAATAGTGTAAATCCAATCCAATCCTCCAAACAAACACACCCAATTTATATTTTATTCATTCGTCCTGATCGACAGAGATATTTTTATTCTTTAATTTTATATATAAAATAAGTATACATATAATAATTTATTTGTAATTTAGATAAAAATTATTTTAATATTAATATATAATTAATTTTTTAAAATAATAGTGCGACAAACAAAATAGTAAAATAAGACAAATAATAAAATAAGTATTTTTGAATTGAAATGAAAATATAATTACATTATTTAAATAATAAATAAATAAATAATGATTGCAATTCCGACATTGAGTATATAAATTTGGACGTGTTGACCAAAATTGACCAGTCAAAAAGAAGCATTAAAAGCATTGTACGGTTACATTCCATTCAGTCCATGTGCAATGTCATTTACCCCCACAATTACCAATCAAACGAATAGCTTTCCATTTTATTTATTTACTCCTATTTTAAGAAATTAAATAATAGTTCTCCATTCTGTTTAAATATTTGTGCATAAATTTTGCAATAAGATAACTAATAATTGCTATTTTTTATTTTTTATATAAAAAATACTAATATACTTCTTTATCTTTTTTCTTTAAAAAATAAATAAATAAATAAAATGAACATATGTATATAGAGAAGAAAACAAAGAGTATTTGTTTTTTAAGTTTTAGTTTTGATTTAATTTTGAGTTTTAAATAATGAAATTTTAAATTAAAATAATTATTGAATGTGATATAAATGTGTACGATGTAATATTTTGAATATAAAATTAAATTTTAATATAATATAATAAATTATAAATAGGTGTTTGTTTTAAAGAAAATATTTATAGATCAAATTGTGAGATATCTTTCGCTGGTTGGTTAGATTTTGGATTCGATCCTAATTTATCTGCGCGTGTGAGTGTATGGGATAAAATATATATTTTCTTCGTTCCAAATCTATCTATCCATTAATATTTTTCACGATATTTGTGTAATATATATAAATCGGAAGGGTATTTGTAATGTTAATTACTAACAAAAGAAATAGATATTTTATTACAAGACAGATCAAAATTAAAAATTTGATAAATTGTTAAGGGATAGAAATAAATAAATAAATATATATTCTTTCTATTACATAACAATTACATGTTTGGTTAGTAATACAACATGCAACATACCGAAATTTAGTAAATTAATTATAGTGAATTATAATATTATTGTATTATATTTTTTTATTTTAGTAGTGATGTTGTTAGTCTTAAAAATAAAAATATTATAAGAAAAACTAATTAGAACACGTGCTTATATATTTTAAAATTTATATCTCAATAATATATAATATAAATATTATTTCGAATAAATGAAATTTTATACACTAATACAAATAAATCAAAATTATAATTAATATAAATAAAAATACTTATTTATTAAAAAAATAAAAGTAAAAATTTGTTGAATGAGTACGATATTATAAGCATTATATATTATTATATATTATAAAGTTAATTAAAAAAATTTGTTGAATGAGTACGATATTATAAGCATTATATATTATTATATATTATAAAGTTAATTAAATTACTTTATATTTATTAAATATATTTTAAATAAAATTGATTTACTAAAAAAATTCAAACTTATTAACTGTTCTAAAACATATTAAAATGAAAAAGGTGAAAGGATGGGAAAGTATATAAAAGAAAGTATTCATTTTAATATTCTAAATAAAAATTTGAATTAATATTTTGGGAAGAAAATATTACTCCTTCGTCCCGGAACTACAATTTTGGTTGTGTTGAGCACGAGATTTAAGGAATATTGATATTATATTGATAGTGGATAAAAAGTATATGTAGAAGACATTTTTGTCTTTGTGAGTGTATTAGTGTAAAAAATAGTGAAAATTGTGTAATAATAATGAAAGAGTAAGGGTAGTTTATATAGTAATATAGTTAATTTATGAAAATAAGACTTTTGAAACGAACAAAAATAGTAAATAAGACTATTGTATTGAGACTTGAAGGAGTATATTTTTATTAAAAATTATAAAAGTTAAATAGTATTTTCTTCCGTCAAATTTATATAATTATTCTATTTTTTTACAGTGCACTAAATTTATATATTTTCTATTTATAATAAAAATACTATTATACTTCTTTTAATATATACAAATAATAATTTTGTCACTATAAAATATCATAACTTGTGTAACTTATTTAACAAATTTCTCAAAATACTTTCACTAATATAATTTTTTTAATAAATTTCTCAAAATAATCACATTTACTTATTTTATTTTTATAATATTGTTATTTCTTAATCTCTCTATCATACATATATTTACATAATATTTATTTAAAATATAAAACAAACATACTTTTAATTTTGATTTGAAATTAAAATTTTGATTAAATAGTATATTATAATTTAATATTTTATACTCCTACTGTTTCATAACAAAGTATTCATTTCTTTATTTAGTAAAGTTATTCTTACAACTACCTAATATTATAAATATTCTTACAACTTATAATATATTACACGTTACCTTTATATCACATATACTAATAAAGTTATTTTAGTGACGAATGAGTAATAAATTTGATTTGAATATAATTCCAAAAAAATAAAAATTTAATAATAATAAAAAAAAAAATATGAGTACAAACTGCAACAGAAGAGAATGAAACAGTAAAAGTTGTTGAAAAACCATTCATCAACAAAACCAAGTGTATAAATTAAAACATTTTCTATCTCTCTAGTCTCTATCCATACATAATTAATCAATCCAAAATCAAAATCAAAATCAAAATCAAATCCCCAAAACAATGAAATGAACATATAAATTAATCAATCAGTACTAATCAAAGAGATGATATCCAAAATTAAGCTGATCAGTCAAACGATCGAAAATATATATATCTAATTCAATCTAAGAATCACGATCATGATCATCTGAATTAGAATGGAATTTGTAGTGCTTATCGACGGGGAGAGAAACATCCCAAGTGCAGGCGATACCTTTAGGAATGACGACGAGATCTCCAGCCCCAAATTCCACAGATTCCCCTTCTGGAACATTCTTCAGATAAACCCTAACTTTTCCCCTCAGCAAATAGCAAGTCTCCTGCGCCTCGAATTTCAGCTCGTACTTCCCCGGAGAGCACGCCCACCTCAATTCCAATTCCAATTTCAATTCAATTCATAATCCGAATCTATATATATATATATATGTATGTATAATTTGATTTGATTTGATTTGATTTGCTTACTTGGGCCAGGATTTGACGCCGAGTTGGGTGAGTTGGGACTCGGAAGGGTTGCTTTGCACTCTGATTTTCAGATTATTATTATTATTGTTACTGTTGCTTCTGCTGCTTGAGGATTCTCCTGCCATGGATGTATATATATATTATATATATGTATATGTGTGTGTTTTGGGGACAAGGGATTTGATTTTCTCTGTCTATACGAGTGAGTGTGTGTCTTTCTCTCTCTATATGCTCTCCTAAACTGTTGGGTTTGGGGGGTTTTATATACAGGGTGTGTTTGTTTGGGGGGTTTGGATTTTGAGTTGGGATTTGAATAGTAAAAATTTCGAATTTGAATAGTTGTATAATGTGATATAAATAGGGTTTGATGTGATGTTTTGAATGTAAAATTGATTTTTAGTATAATATAAAAAATGAAAAATATGTGTTTGATTTGATGTTTTTGGGGGGAAAAAATTGGATGAATAGTGGAAATCCACCAAAATCCTTCAAACAAACACACCCATAATGTCTCCTCATAAATATATATATATATATACACATGGGGTTGTATATTTTTTATGTGTATTTTTTCGACTAGCCCGTTATTGTATTTAATATTTAAAATATTATTATATTTGTATAATTTTTTTGTTTTTTTTTTAAATTTGTATAATATTTTGATACAATAATTAATATTTAAATATCAATACTCAAAAAGTATATGAGATCTTAGAGTCGATAAATGCTGTATTTATTACTCTTTCCGTCTCAATACAATAGTTTTGTTTATCATTTTTGTCAGTTTTAAAACAATAATTTTATTTTCATAAATAATCATATCATCGTAAAAGTACTTATATTTTTTTTATAATTATTACACAATTATTACTATTTTTACATTAACATACTCATACGAAAATAAAAATAATCTTAAATTTTGTGTACAGCATAGTTAAGACTATAATTTTAAAACGAGTATCTATTTTTAATTTTTATTTTGAAATAAGGGTGTGATGATAAAGAAGATGAGACGGGGGGATGATTTTTATTTTATTTTAATTTATTATTTGAAAGGGAGGGGGTGGAACACGTGTATGGCGGACATTGGTGAGCAAATAGTTGATAAATTTATGGATAGAATAGGAATCGCCGGTGGTCAAACCGTGGACCATGAATGTGCACACGTGGCGTTAGTTCATTGGTTGATCCAGCAATGTTAGGTTTGACCAGGACCAGGACCTCACTAAGTTCAAGATATACTACTTACTTCTTTGGTAGACATTCATTCATTCACAGAGACAACGGAAAACCCATACAGCACCACCTACTGCCAATTAAAACGCCGCATCACGTGATGTGCATGCTCCATGCCTTAATACTATTATTTACCTATCATCTAATGTTAAGCTTATTTCTTTCTTTTTCTTTAATACAATATGTATTAAAAAGTGTGCACAATAACATAACCACCAGTACGTAAATCATAAATATGAAGTATAATATTAAATAAAAAATTGTGCATAATAAAGTTTAGTATCAGTCTATCATGAGTTAAATAATATATGCGTCACGAATATACATCGTATGTGTCCAGAGGCCAACAAAAAGATTTTTAGAAATAATTGTGTTGATATATATATATATATTTCTAAAATAGACTAATCAAGAATGCACATATACGCATGATTACCATAAAAACATTACACAATATTAAAAACACAATCATCAAATCTGTCCGCTTGGCCGAAAGAGTTTCTCGTTGTTGAAATGTGCTATCTTTGCACAGAGTACTTGAATGTGCTTTGTTATATTTGTTTTGGGTTTAATAGAAGCCTCGGGATCTAACTTAGTTGAATCCGTCATGAGAAGATTCATCAAAGTAAACTTCTAAATAGAAGAGGAATTGCGCGTCGTATCCGACTTCTGTCAAGTGCGGATATGTAAATAGAGAAGGAATCGATGGCGGGGGTGGTTATTTGACGGCCGCGGGCGTCGTTTGAGAGGTCGGTGGCGGCAGTTAGACGGAAGCAGCGCGACGGGGAAGGGGGTATCTGCTTGGTTAATTTATGGCTTGGTAAATAAGATGGGGTGTGAAGGGTTAAAAGCGTTAATATTATACGTATTTGATTTTTAATTTATTTAAATAATTGTCATATCATGACAAATTGATAGAATGTATCATTGGACATCGTTTAGTTAAATTATATAAGAAAAGTATTTCATGGAAAACATCGTAATAGTACTGTAGATACATCATTTTGTGATACTGTATGCATCTTTATAATTTGAATGTATACGATTTTAAAAGTAATTATTTGTAAACGTTTTTGTTTTTGTTTAAGAAAAACTTAATTCCGAAATTATTGGAGGTAGTTACGATAATTTATTCTAATTGATTTTTTTTTTAAAAAAAAATTAGATATCATAATTAATTTTTTGAATTACCAAAATACTCTCAATCAAACTCAATCGATGGATTATCAGTACAATTGATCCAACATATTAAAAACATTCGGATGCTCCTGAATTTTAATCAAACATAAGGAGAATACCAAAATTCTTTTTCACATGACATAATAGAATCCTCATCCAAATAAGAAATATTGTACAGTAATTAAAACCGTGCTAGACTATATTAAATAAAATAATTTGATAATTCAGTGACATGACAAAAAAAAATATATTTTTATTTTTATTTAAGTAGTATGATAAAATAAAATGTAATATATTAATTAATTCTTTTTTTTTTTTTGTTATTTTAAAAATATTACTATAAAACATTTGAGATAACAAAAAAATTAAATAAAATAAAATTGGATGATGTTCGAGACCGGGGAAGTATCTATTTACTTTCCACATAAATAATATTATTCTTTCCGTTCTAAATCAATTTGATTCTTTTGTCATTTTGATTTATTTAAAATAAATATGTTCGATTTTTTTTTTAAGTAATTATATGCTGCATATAATTTTTAAAATATTCTTTTATCTTACCTATTATTATAACAATAACGTTAATATAATTAAACTAAACTTCAAAACAAACAACTCCAACATAATTTTGATTTGATCATATCTAACATATGCTATACATTTAATAACATATATTTATGTGTTTCAATATATTTATAATATAACATATATTATATCATAATTTAATATATGCTCGATCCCTTTTTGGTCTGTTTCGTAATAAAATATCAATTTTTTTTTTTTAAAGTAACGGTACTATCTACGTAACATACAAATATCATTCTAATTTACGATATATATACATTTATATCATATAATACTAATAAGGCTCGTTTAGTTTTTTTACCTTTATTTCTACTATGTCCCAATATAATACTAATATTTCTAAAGCTTCGCGCAAAAATCAAATAGATAGATAGATACAGGACACAGAAAGTATATTATAACTCATCATATGATATATTATGTATAAATATATACTAATTATATGTATAATATACTGATCCGATCAAATCAGCATCATATTAACTTAGTAAACAATTTTTTTGCTGTTTTGAGGTGCTTAATGTAGTTAGAGCTTCTTAGAGATTATTAAGGAGTGTTTATTTATTTGTTTGACATTATAAAAGAGTCATGTTTACTACTACAAGGGTTTCTAGGTGTAAAATTGTAAATTTATTCCTCTATTGTATCATATATATATATATATATATATATATCAAATACTAATATTTTAAATCTACGAACAAAAAATAAATAGATACATCAATAGAACTTGTTAAAGTAATTGTGTTAGCTGAAAAAGACAAAATTACGACTATTATGCTTTACTTGCTTAGTAGCTATGTCGAAAGCCCTTCACTTTGCTCGGGATGAGCATCACATTGCCGTCTTTTACTCATTTATAGAGATTGTAATTCTATTTATGCACACGTATTTAAAAGTTTCGATATTATTCATCAAAAAGTAATTTAAGGAAACAAAACATCGAATCAATATATATATATATATATTTTATCTCACGAAAAAAATATATTTTTATTTAACACTGAATAGTAAGAAACCAAAACAAAAACCCCACAGAAATACATTCTTAAGTGACTACTATAAAAACATTGTTGATGAGAGGTATTGCATAAACCAATAGTGCATCAAAATTTCCAAATTTTGCAGGATTTATCGACAACTTAAAACCAAAGCTAGCTTCAATTTCGCTACTTCTAAAGACAATCACGCCGTTGACAACTTAGAAATCAAAATACCTTCACAGAAATTTCACCGAACTAAAAACATAGAAATCAAAACCAAATTAAAAACACCTGTGTTATAGCATAAAAGAGTTTAGCTCAAGCAGCAAAGTTACTTTGGGTCAAGACTCGGGTTTGGGAATGGAAAATGGATATGCAAGTCTTATTGGTTCTTCAAAAACTAGTTCTGGGATATGTCGAACATATAAATGCATAGTACGAATGAAGTTATACCCCACGGTAATTGATTCCTTATCTGCTGCTCTTCTTAGCACGCTTTCCTTGACCTTTCTTCGGTGGCCCCTTACCACGGCGCTTCAACATTTCAAGTTTGTTCAATCGCCTGCCACACCAAATGTAAATTAATATCGTGGTTCTCATATACAAGATATTTGAAGATCTATTCTGAAACATGGGAGGAAATAAATAGCATAGACTCTACTATGTCAACAAAAATGATTGGGAAAGAATATGCTCGATCAAAAGTTCTACGGTAAAACATTTATTCTTCTTGAAAAACATCATATCCGGCATTTGTTTTATATTCAAAATATAGCATGTGTGTTTGTTTTACTATTCGACGCATATTTATGTAACATCATACAATTATTTCAATTCAAAGTTTTAGTATTCAAAACCAAAACCCCAATTTTCATTTAAACTATCAAATTCAATACTAATTTTCAATTTCAAAACCTATTTTACTTCATACCCAAAACATAGAAAAAAATACCAAAATATGCTCAAACACAACCAAAGCCAAATATTTATAAACTCTTCTACATGTTATCAAGAAGCAATGGGCGAATTACAAGTGTGTACTCTCATGACTAATGGATGGCGGTTAGGGTTTTGACTGACAACACATATTAATAGTCGAAACACCACATGACATCAAATAAATGCAGTGTATAAATTAGCAACGAATGATAATAGTCAACACAACACATACTACGAATGATCTCTCATCACAAAGTGTACAAATCGGAACAATCCACACAACATTTTCAAGCCATGCGCTGAAAAATAGTTATTCATGTCCTTAACTAATGCACCTGAACAATCATTACTCACATAATTGTTGGAAAAACTTGGAGAAATCGGACCTCTCAACAAGATAATGAAAACACAATAATATATTGAGATCAAGGCATGTACTAGTGCACTGGCCTAAAGAACATTTCCGAGGTATCTGGCGTTCTCTAGCAAAGTTAAAAGCAACAAAAAATATAGAAAACGCAAAAAAATATATCCACATTGTCTGAATTAGTTGAGTAAAGTTACCAACATATCTCTTTCTTCCACTATCCACTTTCTTCTATAATTTTTAACCTTATCCAAAGTAAACCCTAAAACCAATCGGAGCCTAAATTTACCTCACCATCACCTTTCGAATGCTTTTTCACTCTCATTTTCCAACACATCTATCTATGTATCTACATATATATATATATATCCATATTCCTTCTAAGGTGCATTATATCCTCAATGGTGAATCTGTCATCGCCGGACATGATCAAAAGAGACAACACATTAGTAATTCAGTATCCTATACAGATTTTCACTAAACCATTAGCTTGCACATCACTATAATCGAAAAGTAAACACAAATAAACAAGGCATCACTCAAAAATCACACACTGTATGTTAAAATTTACTCTTACTCTTGTTCTTTACGAGCCATTACAAGAGGATCGTCCTTTTTAATATCGTAAGGATACCAAGCGGCAACTTTATCGCCAATCAATTTTTTGCTCAGTATTTTGTGGGGTGACCTCTGCCCTGTGGGATTAAAAACATGGCCGAATATTCGAGCCCTCGCCTCAGCCACCCCTTTCACGGCCGCTTGAGCCACCACAGTCTTCAAGCTCCCAAAGCCAGTCATTTCTTCGATCTTGTTCAGACAAGGCAAAAACCAGAGTAGGTAAACACAAGGGGTGGTGTTTTCTTATTTATTTATTTTCTTTATGGGCAATTCGTCGAACAGATTGAGTGCGAGATGAAAAACCCCCAATTTGCCAAACAATGAAAATGGCCGCCAACAGAACCCATCCCAAATCTTGCTAAACTAAATGCAAATATTGCTTCCCGTAGACTAATTAACCAGAATGGTATAAAAAATTGCGACGAAAATGAAATGAGAATCGCAGTGGATACCTTACGCAAGGAGGGGAGACAGCCTAATCTCGGCCAAGTTGCGTCAATTTGGTATTTGTACCCAATAATCAAATAGGTTCATACAAAAGTCGATCCACCACAGATATTTTGGGATTAAAAACCAATTCCAAATTGATCCTCAACTCGATTCAAAATGAATGCTTTTTAAAACTTTGGCTTCTTAAATATGAACAGGAAAGGTTTATTTATTTATTTATAATCTTTTTTTTTTTAAAAAAAAATTAATTCCTACAAATTTTGATTTTTATTAAATATATTATTATTATCATTATTGTATTCTTTTTGTTTATTTGTTGTCTACAATGTTTGTTTTTTTTTTTTAATTTTATTTTTTAATTTTATAATTAATCTTTTTTTTAAAAAAAAAATATAGAAAATTTGTTTGGTGTTTTAAATTTTATTTAGATGTTAGATCTAAATAAATATTACAATACATTATTTTATACAAAAGTACTACTTTCTGTAAATACTATTCTTATCATTTTAGACTGACAAAAATGAATAAAATAGACAATTTATGTAAAATAAAGTATTATTTTATATTATTTTAATTTATATTTATGCTTGAATAATATTAAAAAAAAATAGCTAGTAATATTAATATTCATCTAAAAATTATATATTGAATATTATCAATTTTCTTTTAAAAGATAATAAATTATAAAAGATAGGAAAAAAATACAAAATAATTCTTTAGCTTCGAGCAATACTTTAATATTGCTGATCTTGCGGGCAATACTTTAATATTGCTGATCTCGCGGACACATGAATACCACGTAGATATCTCCTGCTTTGGAGAACTAAAAACTAAAATGGTAAAAGAGTTCTGGATCCAATTACCTAATTATTTTTTAAAAAAATTAAAATGAATTATAAGGCAAAGTTGACTTGAAAACTCACTTTTAATCTCAATACACATCACTAAATTTTAGACCAAAGACAACTTCAGCCTATATAGACAAAAACCGAAGAACAATATTGGGGCAAAATTCAGCATTTCTTTACTTGATAAAATTGCAGTACAAGGATCCATTTATAATCTCTCATTATACGAGAGACCCAAAATATATGCATATATATATATATATATATGTATGTAAGAAAAATCGAACAACCTCTAACAAATCGACGAATTCCAAGATGCCCGCAACTCAGAATCGGCTATGGATCATAGTTCCGGTCCATATTAGCTCCAGCACGATATTTCAACAACAAGACTAGTAAAACTCGTGAACACGACAGCTGGCTTTACGTCGGCAGCAGAATTTGTTCGCTTCATTTGCCAATTGTAGACAAGATCTACGATTGTCAATGCAATGCATAGACATTTAGATGTTATTGCATCCATAAATGACAGTTTGAAAATTTACGCGAGGATGTAAGAATTGATCGTACCTTTTCAGTGAAAAGAAGGAATGTTTCATCCTCCATGGCTTTGTCGAGCTCCTGTCAACGCACAAAACAACATCCAGTAAATTAAACGGATGTAAAAGAGAACTTCCGACAAAAAGATTCTAAAAGGTATTCGAGCATTACTGTTTGCTTACATTATCCGGATCAGTAGAGGAGTCGATATTGCATATAAGTTTCTGAAGCTTTTCATCCTTTATGGCATCACGGATTTCATTGGATGCAGCTGAAATAAGTATCCCAAAAAGCACGGTGAATTTTGATTATTATATAAACACTGTTATTGAAAAACCATAATTTTGCATAGCAACATGGATAATGGTTATACGTAGGATGATTTGTGGCATGAAAATACACCATCGTACAAAATTCAACGAGCCAACGTAGAGGAAATAAATTGGGCTAAAGAACAGATTCAAATTTTGGAAAATAAGCAAGTTCTTGATCCAATCGCCTAAAAGAACTATGCCAAATTTTTATTACTACCTTTAACCATCGAAAACATCATATCTAGCACCTATTTTCCATTCAATACACCACGACTAAAACCTAATTAAAATCCAAAAACACTTAACACGACAAACACACACCCTTATTATTCCCATTCATGTTAATCGAGAGCAAGTTCTTGATCTAATCACCTAAAAAATGATGCTAATTTTTTTGGTCTTTCACAGTAGAAAACATCGCTTCTAGCACCTATCTTCCGTTCAATACACCACGTCTAAAAACCTATTTTCAGTAAAGAAAATTCGAATCCAAAAACACTTCACATAACAAACACACACCCTTAATATTCCCATTCATGTCGTACTCGAGAGTGTGTTTTTACAGGAAAGTTTGCTTATTGCTGTGGTAAAATAATGGAGCACCAAAATTCTTTTCTTAGATTCCTACTGATGTTTAACAGAGCTGTTCATGTACAGCATTATGGCAGCGAATGAACACAGCGTACAAATGCATAATAAAAACAAACAGAAGAGCTCATGAATTTCGAAACTATGATTATCGATCTGGAATGGAAAAATTATATGAAGTCTTCCAATAGTGACAATAATCAATAAATACCCTACCAACAGACCGCAGTTGCGATTCTTGCAGCACCTCTCTCCGTTCACCAACATAACATGGTTTTTCTTCTTTTTTTGCTGCAGTAGGATCTGATACAAAAATCATATATTGTTTGACTTTCCATGTATCAACAATTAACGTTGAACAGGTATGAATTTGTTCTAACTGATCACATCTATTCAAAAAATCATTCCAAAAATTAGCATATGCTAATTGAGGTTCGAAGAAACAAACGTTCGATGGCACTATGAGAAGCATCAGGAGACTTGTGAGATATTTCTTCCTTCAAAGGTTCTGGTTTGGCGCACGGAGTTTCTGCGTAAACACCGCAGCAAAATCATCAAATATACTGCAGAATAAAACCTAAAATAAGTACTAGAGCTGTAGAATAAACTATGCCTGCCGCAGCATACCTTTGTGCTTCTTGAAACAGGCAAGCGAACAGCTTCATGAACGAAAAAAACAGATATTCAACACATTTTCACAAGCAATTAACAAATCGAAAGGATTCAATCATAGAAAAAGGCAAAAAGACATTTATTTCCTACACAAGCATCAACTTACTAGGGCACCAAGCAGGCCGGACACTTGTACTTCGATTGAGCATCATCACAAACTTCACACTTCTTCGGCCCCATTGTGCAATTGCGGCTGCGATTCTGCAGCTCCGCCGCGAAACTGAATTATCACTCCAATTTGAACCGCCGCGGCGCCGCCGGGCCATTCTTTCGGATATTGGGCTTCATTGTCAGACTCAATAATGGGCCTATTAAATATAATGGGCCGACCCGAATTTGAGGAATTGGTCCAAAAAATTGATGGGTTTGGATTTGGGTTTGGGTTTGGGTTTGGGTTTTTTGACCCAAATAGTTAAATGCTTTCTTGAACAGAAAGATAACTCTGGTCGCTCCTTCTTCTCCTTAAACAAAAAAATCCCCAAATTTCGAATCCGAATTGTACTGCGAAGCAATGGGTCAGGGCACACCAGGCGGCGGCCTCAACCGGCAACTCCCCGGCGACCGCAAAAATGAGGGTGACAAGAAGGACAAGAAGTTCGAACCGGCGGCGCCTCCGGCTCGCGTCGGTCGGAAACAGCGGAAACAGAAGGGCCCCGACGCGGCGGCTCGGATACCCACCGTCACGCCGCTGACCAAGTGCAAGCTTCGGCTTTTGAAACTGGAACGAATCAAGGACTACCTGCTTATGGAAGAGGAGTTCGTGACGAATCAAGAGAGATTGAAGCCGCAGGAGGAGAAAACAGAGGAGGATAGATCCAAGGTCGATGACCTGCGAGGCTCGCCTATGAGCGTTGGGAATTTGGAGGAGCTGATCGATGAGAATCACGCTATTGTTTCTTCGTCGGTTGGACCGGAGTATTATGTAGGGATCCTGTCGTTTGTCGATAAGGATCAGCTAGAGCCTGGATGCGCTATTCTTATGCATAATAAGGTATATATACGCTGCTGTCTTCGATAAATTTAGGGTTTTGATTGATTGATTTTTTCATATTTCAGATTTTGAGAAATTTATCATCAGTGATTCTACAAGATTCTGTGTGTTTTTTCTGCTTTGATCACTTGTGATGTTGAAATTTGCATTAGTCTTGATTTTGATTTCAATGTGTTGTGTGTGGAATCTGGTTTCTCTTTAATGCAATAGCAGGCTCATTTTGTGGAGTTAGGGCATGACATCTTGGCTGTTGCACTATGTATTTGTCAAATTAAATCTTGGTGTAGATAAAGATTGGAAGCTGTTGTAGGAAGGGGTTTTCGACATAGTTCCTCACACTGCTAACAGCCTCACATATTTGTTATTTAATGTGTATTAAACCTTCAATTCTATTTGGTGGTCGGCATTCCTTTGGGGGATTATAGGGTTCCTTTGATGTAGCCGGAAAACAATGTTAGGGGACTTGTTGACTAAAGAAACAGCTGTGGCTCATAAATCTTTCATTAAAACTTTATGTGATAAGAGTACCAACTTGGGACATCTGACTCTAATGAAGGAATGTCATGTTATCAATCATAAGTTGATAATGTTCAAATCACCATTGATATGAAATGTTTAATTTCTCTGTGTTGTAGGGTAGGGCTGTTTTGGTTTAAACAAGATGAAATAGCTGCCTTCCTGTGAGCTATGCCTATGTAACCTAGGGGTTCGTTTACAAATGTTTTTTTATACCTTCTAACCGTAAAAGACATTCACCTGTGTGAATTGGCTTCAGAAAATTTAACTACAATTGTGCATAGCATTTTGCTTATTTAAGCTACTATCTGATTTTCTGTCAAGAATAGAATTAGCTGTAGTTTTATCTTCCTCGGTGGAATTTTTAGCTCATAACTGTGTATTGTTTGCTAGGTCCTTTCTGTTGTTGGCCTGCTTCAGGATGAAGTCGACCCTATGGTCTCTGTCATGAAAGTTGAGAAAGCTCCATTGGAATCTTATGCTGATATTGGGGGTCTTGATGCCCAGATCCAGGAAATTAAAGAGGCAGTTGAGCTTCCATTAACTCACCCTGAACTGTACGAGGACATTGGTATTAAACCTCCTAAGGGTGTCATACTCTACGGAGAGCCCGGAACTGGGAAAACTTTACTTGCAAAGGTGTGTATGTGTGCTTGTTGATACATATATATTAATTTGATTCCATTTTCTAGGTCATATAGATACATATATATCTACACTTGTTGATGATGTTTAAATTAGATCTTTTTTCTATTTACATTTTTCGTTTTCCAAATACCAAAATTTTATGCCGTAGACAATTGATGTGAGATGAGATCTGAGAAAACCGTGCACAACTGTTAATACTGTTCTTTTTTGGTTCTATTTGAGAGATGTATTGATTGAATAACATAGATTGTATTTGAACCCTGAAGGCTTGAAGTTGCTTCAGCCTGGTTTGTCACATCTGTCAGATTTTTTCATGTGGAGAGTGGTTTTTGCTTCATTTAAGTATCAGTCAGCGTATACATTTATATATGCTTGGAATGTGCAGCATCAGTTGTTCGGGTTTTACTGTGATTTTAATTGTATGTGTTTGATCTGAGCATAAGTTCTTGGATTTGTAATAACAAGAATGTGTAAATCTGTAGGCTGTTGCAAATTCTACGTCTGCAACTTTCTTGCGCGTTGTTGGAAGTGAGTTGATTCAGAAGTACCTTGGAGATGGTCCGAAATTGGTGAGGGAGCTTTTCAGAGTTGCTGATGATCTCTCACCATCAATTGTCTTCATTGATGAAATCGATGCAGTGGGTACAAAAAGGTAATCTTCAGGCGATCAGCTATTCTCGTTAATAAAATAGTCGTACTCATTGGAATATTCCATCTACAGATACGACGCTCACTCTGGCGGCGAACGTGAAATTCAGAGGACCATGTTGGAATTGCTGAACCAGCTGGATGGTTTCGACTCAAGAGGAGACGTGAAAGTCATTCTCGCCACAAATAAAATCGAAAGCCTCGATCCAGCCCTCCTCAGGCCAGGTAGAATCGACCGCAAAATTGAATTCCCTCTCCCGGATATCAAGACGAGGAGACGCATCTTCCAGGTAAACAACACACAAACATTTCATTTCAGAGAGCCATATTACAAAGTTAATTATTGTCTGTGCTTATTAGATACACACGTCGAGGATGACTTTAGCTGATGACGTGAACCTGGAAGAATTCGTGATGACTAAAGACGAGTTCTCCGGAGCTGACATTAAGGCCATATGCACTGAAGCCGGATTGCTTGCTTTGAGAGAGCGCCGCATGAAGGTAAACCCATAAAATTTACCAAAAGTTTTAGCATAAGTTTAAATATTTTACAAGAATGCGCGAGATTCGTACGAGGTTTCTCTTTGTAATAATAACATACACGACTTCCTTGACCTCGGCGATCTCCTAGGTTACGCATGCGGATTTCAAGAAGGCGAAGGACAAGGTTATGTTCAAGAAGAAAGAGGGTGTTCCTGAAGGCCTTTACATGTGAGATTAAGGTTTGTGTATTTTTTTTTTTACTTGTTTATCTCTACTGTTTGAGCTTCTTCGTTCTTACTCTAAAACATGCATTTCAGACTATCATATTATTCTGACTCCCTACGTTTAAGGTTATCCCTAATTTGGTTGATGGAATTTACTTGCTGCCCATCTTTAGGAAAGTATAAGATAAAAGTTTTGATTTTGAATAATTATTTGATAATTAAAAATGTAAATATAAATGAAATATGTGAGTTTGATTTGAAATGTTTAGGAAAAAAATTTGTTTTTAATAGTAAGCCTTAGGAAAATCTCCAAACAAACACACTAGTTTTTCTATGTATTCAAATTTAGGGTTAGCAGGTCTGTGTTTTCGTTTTCGGATTGTGTTTGTGTCGAGTTGGGCCGTGGATATAATAAAAATAAATGCAAAGTAGAACACAATTTGAAATTCTATAATTCGAAAACACAACGATGGGAATGGATTGCAAAAGATTTTTTTTTTTTTTTTCTATTATAAATTTTTAAATAATAATATGATATTACATGATTTCTTAACCATTGATTAAAATTAAGTGGAATTTTATTAAATGTAATTGTAAAATCAGCTATAAATTAAGTTGGATTTGAATTTTGGATTATCCATGATTTAATTTATATATTTCATTATTGGGCCAATTCGAAACAAAGTTGATATGACGTGAATTTTTTTTTTTTTTTTTTTTTTTGTCCAATTTACATTTAAATCGAGAAGTGAAACCTAAAAACTTTCTAAGATTGAAAAAGTTTGTGTTTTTGGGTTTTGTTTAATTTTGACACCTATCATTTTTTTCTCTTCGTGTGTAATATTCCTTTTGTCTTAATTGACAGTATTTTTCTTATAATTATGTTAAATTATAAGTATGTTAGTATTCATTTGGATTAAGATGGAAAAAGTATTTTATTTGAAAATCGGAGAACTTAAATTTTTATCGTATTTTCAATTCTCTGGCGTCGAGATGCTTATGTGGCACTTACTTCGTTCGCCGGGGTACAAGTAGTTTTTTTTTCTTTAAATTAATTAATTAATTAATTTTTTTTGTATAAATTAATTTTTTAAGAAAAATATTAAAAATTAAAATTTTTTTTTAAAAAAATTGGGACATCGACAACTGGTGGATACGTGATTTTTTTTAAAAAAAAATTCAAAAAAATTTGAAATTACAAATTTTAAAATTCAGTGTCTACAAGGTCAGCGAGACTGGCGGAGAGAGACTAAGGGTGTGTTTGTTTGGAGATTGGATTTTAAATACACTATTCATCCTATTTTTATCCCAAAAAAATATCAAATCAAATACCTATTTTTTATTTTTATATTATACTAAAAATTAATTTTACATTCAAAATATCACGTCAACACCTATTTATATTATATTATACAACTATTCAAATTCAAAAGTTCTCTACTTATAAAACTAGTTTCAAATAAACTCTAGTTATATAACTAAAATTATAAAAGAGTTCTATGAAAAAAAAAAAAAAAAAATCAATTTACCCTAAAATCTACATTGAAGCTTAAGTAGCATCTGAAAGTGCACATATTTTTTATTCATTAATTTGGAGAAAATATCTACAACAATTGTCATAAGCATATAAAGAATTTTGAATGGTTTGATCAATATCATTTTAATATCAATAATACAGCATCTTTGTGTTTGTTTGGAGGTTTGGATTGTGGTTTGAATAGTAAAAAATTAAATTTGAATAATTGTATGATGTGATATAAATATATATTGACGTAGTGTTTTGAATATAAATTTTTTTTTAGTGTAATATAAAAAATAAGCATTTAATTTGATATTCTTGAAATCTTTTTTTTTTATATATATAAATAGTATAAATTCACTTTCAAACAAACACACCATATTACATTATACTCAATAAAGCAACTCATCATCTAAATTTTCTATTTTTTTAATCCCGTACCACATACTTACCTATCCAAATTCTATCTCACAATTTGATTTACAAACATTTGACATCTAAATTGTCTATTTAAGACAAAAACGTGAAAAATTTTTGCACCCATTATGATGTGTTCTTCAGTCACTGATGTAACTAGCTCTAAAATTTTAGAGGAACAAACTCTCACGAGGGATGAACCCTTTTATTAGGGACACGGTTTTTTAGTACCGTAAATTAGTAAGTTATTAATAATAAGTTAAAATATTAGTTTATTATTTTTTATATGAATAATATTATTGGTATCTTAAAAGATTTTAAAATTATATATCGAAATAAAGGAGTTTTGAGTGGATCCAACGAGTAAAATGTTAAAAGTTTAATTAAATTGATTTATATTTGTTAAATATGTTTAAGATTTATAAAATTACCATTTGTGGCAGGATGGAGAGAGTATATTTTTTTAGCTCGGCAAAGAAAAATAATGATAAAGAATTCGCCAATGATTAAATATTGAAAATAAAATTATATAAAATGTAATATTACTTACTAAAATAAATAATAGACTCAAAAAATGCAACTCAACAAATAAAATAAAATTGGGAGAACAAATTAATAAAAAATACATAATTTTATTATTGTCTCGCTCTAAGCCGTTAATTAGTTGACAATTAACATTAAGCTTCCCAAAGAAATTAAACAAACTCGAAAGAAACAATCAAATAAAAAAGATTCATTAATTAAGTAACAAAGTGGTAACACAATCCAAACCATCACCCAGACACTAATAATTAATTAATTAATCAACCATCAAAACACTATATATTAATTAAATAAATAATAACAACAATATTCATTCATTCAAGGGTACGGCAGCGCGCCGGAACCCGCGCCGCCGCCGGCACCACCGCCCACTCCCGCACCGCCGCCAGCTCCACCCCCAGCGCCGCCACCAACGCCACCACCGCCACCGACTCCGCCGCCAATATTTCCTCCCAAGCCGCCGATGCCGCCGCCGATGTTTCCTCCCAAGCCGCCAAGGCCGCCGGGAAAAGCGCCGAAGCCGCCGAGCCCATTCCCGCCGAGTCCGCCGCCGGCACCACCGCCCAAGCCTCCGCCGGCACCACCGCCCAAGCCGCCGCCGGCGCCAACGCCGCCGAACGGAAGGCCGTTGCCGCCGAGGCCGGAGAATCCTCCGAGGCCACCGTAACTCCCGAAGTTCTTCTGGTCAGTGAAGCCGACATTGTCGCCGGAGGTAAGAACTCTTGCAGCCGCCGCCAGATGAGCTGCTAAAAGAGTAATAGTAAGAAACACCATACCACATTTTACCGCCATGGCTGATTTCTCTCTCTCTCACTCCTCTGAAAACCCTAATTTTTTATGAGTGAGAAAGTGGTGAAATGATAGATCGTTTTATAGAGACTCAGTGAGCAGTTGAGAGAAGTGAATGCATGATTTAAATTAACATAATATATATACACACGTATACGTATATATTTATATGTAGATATGTATTTATGCTTAAAATTTTTATTTTTAATTTTATATAATTAAACAGGTGTTAAATGCAAAATTGTTCACAACCTGATCATTTTTGGATTCGAATTCAGCGTAAATCTTTTTCTACTTTAAAATTTGGTTGGGGTCCTTATATTTTAGAAAATATTGCATGAAACTCTTTCGTGATTTCAAAATTCAGCGTAAATTTTCATTTTACTTTAAAAATTTACATTACACCCCTTGTACTTTAAAAAGTATTGCATGAAACCCTCTGTCATGCAAAACATATAGATAAGAAATCATCTTCTCATCATACAAAATAGATTTTACGGTGATGGAGTTTTATACAACGTTTTTTAAAGTATAAGGGTACCGTGCAATTTTTAAAAAATATGAAGATTTTACGTTGAATTTCGAAACTACATAGAAATTAAGAGCAATTTTACCGGTGCTAGATTTAAATATTCAACACCCTATTCTTCCCCCTATTACATTAGGTACGGTATTTTTTTAAAATTAAAATTAAAAAAAAAAAAAAACTCTTTATGTTAGGTGGCCTTTTCTTTTTTGTATTTTAGAAGATGTTGATAAAATATATATTTTTCATATTTTATAAAAATGAATTATTTTTTATCCATAACATTGTAACAATAAAAACTATCTTTTAATATTACATTTTAAACTTATTGTGATGGTGGCGGCAGAAAGGAAATGACAACAATTCTTTCTTCTTTTCCGACGACGGTAGCAATGGAGGCGGCGGCTGCTCCTCCTCCATCTTCCTCATCTTCTTCTCCGGCAGCTTTTTCTTCTTTTTCAGAGGCCGCAGAGGCACCTAAGGCGGGACGGCGGCAGGAACGGGTCTCCCGCAAGAAGATTAGACATTTATTTTTTTAGAAAAAAAAATTAATAATTGCTTCAAAAATTTCAAGGCCAGAAAAATGGTAGAACACGCCCCTTTTGTTGTCTGCAATTTCAGATTGGGTCTCAGAAATTTCGAAACTATTTAAAATAGCTTTGAAATTTTCAAAACTACTCAAATGACAACGAATTTTATTCTTTGGGCAACAATTCGAAATAAATTCCAAAACTGTTTAAAAATAGTTTCGGATCTATTTTAAATTTTGAGGCTAATTTACCGAGATTAATTTTGTTTTTTTCTGATAGTGTTTTGATGGTTTTTTTAATATAATATCATTGTTTTATTGTAGTAAATTTAAATATATAGCGAATAAAGGAAGTATTATAATATATATATAGTCTATTTGGTATGTATATAATTTTGATTTTGAAGTGTAATTTAAATAATATTTTATTTTTATTTTATTTAAAAATATTATCTTTATTAGAATTGTATAATAACAAACTAAAATCAAGTTATAAAAATACCTATGGGTGTGTATGTTCGGCAGATTTTTTGTAGGATTTCTATTGTTTATTAATTTTTTTAAAAAAAATATCAAATCAAATACTTATTTTTTTATTTTTTATGTTATATTAAAAATCAATTTTATATTAAAAATATCACGTTAATATCTATTTATATCAAATTATACAACTATTACAATTTAAATTTTTTCATATTAAAATCTCAATTCAAAATCCAAACCTCCGTAACAACCACACCCTTGTATTAATGTAGAACATATATCCCATGACATCAATCTCACAGTCACACTATCTAATGTACTCCCTCCGTCTCATATTGGATGTCAGGGTCACGATAGATACGAAAATTTAGAATAAGTATAATTAATAGATAATTAAGAATGTATTAGTGAAAATAATTATTTTAAATAATTATAAATTAAGATTAAGATAACTAATTAGTTTAATTAAATTTTTTTTAAAAAAAAATTAAATTAAAAAATTTAAAATAGAATTAAAATGTATAATCATTTTCCAAAAAATAAAAGTGACCTGATATATAGGACGGACAGAAACGACAATGTGAACATGGTAGGTGAGACGGAGAGAGTACTGTATTTTCAAAATTATTACATCAATTATATGTGTTTTTATTTTAACAATTAAATTAATATTTTTTTCATCCCTTTCAAAACGATCATTTGAGATTTTGTAATAGATTAAAAAATAATACTATTTTTTTAGTTAGTTAAAATGTGTAAAAAGATTTAATATTTTTGTCCATTGACTTTAGGTAAAAAGTAAGTGGCTGTGTAACGATATATTTATAATTTAAATAAAAATTAAAGGTATTTTAGTATTAGTATTTTACTAAAAAAATAAAAATAAAAAGAATACTTTGAAATGAGACTGACGAAAATGGTAAAAATTATACTTTGAAATGAGACGGATGACGTATTATTTTTATTTAAAATATAGTATCAAATGGTATTTATTATACTATTACAGTTCTTTCGTCACAATTCAATGTATCTTTTTTATTATTTTTATATGTTTCATTTCAAAGTATCTTTTTGCTATTTTAGAAAAAAAAATAATTATTATATATACAGTTACTTTATATACAAAGTCAAACGATAAAAATATCAAAAATTCTTAACGTACTCTTACTGACTAATAAAATATTATTATTTTTTAATATATTATAAAAACTCTAAAAAATCTCATTAAATAACACAAAGGGAGTATTAAAATAAATTTAATCTAGTTTTTCACTCGATCTACCTCCAAAACAATCCTACAATAGTTGTTGACCAAATCTGACCGTTGGATTAATGATATCGAAATATCATCATCTGTATATTTACTGCTGGCACATGTATGTGCTGGCAAAGCCTACCTCCAGCCTCGCAATTTATTTACATTTAACTGTATATGCAATTTAAAGTCAATAAAATAATTCTGGTAAATTTAATTTACCCAATTGTATACGTAGATATAGCAGTAACTGCTAGTAAATTGCCTACATTAGTCTATGTTTTGTTAAAAAAAAAAAAATGATAAATTTACAACCTGTAATTTCCTCGTCCAAATGAGGTTAAAAAAAATACTGTAAATTATAAAAATTAAAATATTAAACTCTATTTAAATATTAGAGATTTCCATAATAAAAAAAAAAATAACTATTTAATATGATATTTATAAAAATAAACCCTTAATTTTACATATTTTTTAAAAAATAATATTATTAATAAATTGAATGCAAGTGTGTTTTTTTAAGAATTTGACTAATAAAATTTTTTAAATTGAAATAATTGTATATATATAAATAGGTGTTGATGTTATTTTAAATATAAAAATAATTTTTAGTATAACATAAAAATATTTATTTAATTTAATATTTTTAAAGAAATTTTTTTAATAAATGAGTAAAATTTTAATAAAATTTGATAAAATAACACATCCATAATAAATTTTTGGAATGGGTAGAAAAGAAATTGAATATGTATCTGTATTTCTTAGAGACAGAAGAGGCAGAGAGATTAAATGCAGTGTCAGAAGTTGATGACTGTAGAGCTGGTGGTGGTTGGTAAATTCCTTTAATATTTCATTTACTAACCTCAACAATTGTTTCTTGTTTTTATTTCTTTATTTATTTAATCATCCACCAAATATTAATTAAATTAATAATACTCTCTCCGTCTAATTTCTATTGTCCTAAAGTATATTTGCACAATTTTTTAGGTGATTGTCTTTTTGTTATTAATCGACAAATTTTTCTTTAATTGTATTGCAGAGATTTAAAGTAATAAATAAATAAAAGATAAAAATGTAAAATTTATGTTTAAAAAAGGAAATAGGACAATAGTTATTGTAAGTTCCAAATAAAAAAAATAGGACATTAGTTTGTAGACGGAGGGAGCAGGAGCCTAGACGTGTTTACTGCTTTCTCTACGGTAGTATTTTTGTTCTTAATTTTTTTTAAAATTATGAAATTATTTAAATGAAATACTAGTTTTTATTATATTACAAATATTTTGTAAAAAAAAAAAACATAATATATATATATATATACTCTCTTCGTTTTAGAAAAAGAATATTATTTATTTTTTATACGTAGATTTTTTAATATTAGTATTATATTAATGATAGTAAAAAAAATAGAAATACTCATATTAGTATTAAATGATATTTGTTTAATATATAATAAATTTTAAAAATATTTATTATATCACATAAATAAGTAGTACAATTAATAAATTAGAAAACGACACTCCTATTTTGAAACTGACATAATAAAAATGACACATGTCTTATGGGACATGGAGAGAAATCTAATTTATTGCGAAAGGTGGAAAAAAAATAAATAGATTCTTTTGAAAGCTTTTGATTCGAAATTATTTAAATTTAAATTTTTTATTATTTAAATTTCAAATTCAAAATATAAACCTTCAAACAAGCATAAATGTTTCATTAGAGTATTTGTTTGTCTAGTATTTTGGTTTGTAATAAATATATATTATGAATTATAAGAAATCGTGTCACTACTAAAAAAAAAAAACAAATAAAATAAAACAAAAAAAATAAAAAAAATATATATATATACATATAAGAAATATTAATGTTTTGTGAAAGGATAAAATATTTATTCATCTTTTCCATGGTTGACATGTTTTCCTTTCTAAACCATCCTATAAGAATAACGTTCTATCTTAAATATTTTAATAAATATAATTAATTTAATTAAAATTTTAAATATCCTATTCAAAACTTTTTTGTTTTTATCTATCCTAATAAATAAGTATTTTCTTCATATATAAAATTCTTTATTTTTATAAAAATAAATTATATTCATAGTAAATAAATAAATAAATATATTATTTACTTTTATTATAACAAATTTATTTATATCACATATTTTTTAAAAAAAATAATCACAAATTAATTATTACTTTTTAAAACTTGAT